ACAGTGGTGGTGGGGGGAGGGGGTCAGAGGGAAAATTTGTTCAGCAACAACAACAAAAAGTCGCCTGCCCCTTTAAGGGTGGCTATCTTGAACTCTGCTCTCCGCAGCACACCTCCAACTGCCTCGCCGCACACCAGTGCGCCACGGAACACAGTTTAAAAAAAAACAAAAAAAAACACTGATATAACACATTAGTGGTTCCTAGGTGTGTCATTCCCTGAAAATGACGAAAAGCTCTAGCTTCCCCCTGCCTTTAAGAAAAAAGAAAAAAAGTGTATGAAGGCACACTAACACCTCACCCTCAGAAATCTAATTTCAAACCTTGGCGAGGTGACAAATGTGAATGGATGAGGTCAGGACCAGAACAGCCACATTTCAACAAGTTGGTAGTTTACACTCAAAAGAAGCACGCAGTTGGAATATCTCAGGATTTGAAGATCAAAAGTTAGGTGTCCGGATAAATTTATAACATGTGAAGGACTCCACTGTTCCTCTGCCTGCCTGATCAGTGCTAGAAATGTCTGTTTAAAAACAGACTTTTCCTCACTTTTTGGAATATTTAGGTTTGGATACAGAATTGTGTTGCATTTGGATGAGATGGGGTAGGATGCCATCCCCATTCTATGAACTCATGGTCAATGGTTAAATTTAATAGAGTGTACATTTTTGATAATTGTCAGATTTAAAAAAAAATATGAAGTGTTACAGTGAGCAGCAATAGTCATAGAAATTACTTCTCAGATAATATTTCTAATGTAATGAGTTTCTACTGCATCTTGTTTTGTGCATAGGCAGTAGTGTGCGCCCCTGATCCCATCCCTTACAGGTTATGGCCATGTAACATTTCAGAAGGCTGAGAGTCTAGGGGCTTCAGTACCACCTCTTTTGTACTCCATGGGAGGGGTAGAGAGGTGTTTCTTTTGTTTTTAGTGGGGTTTTATACCTCCCCCCCCCATCCCTCCTTGCCCCTACTGACTGGGTGCTTGAACTTGTCTGGAGGTAAGAGTTGAAGCAGTTGTATATTAAACTCCAACCAAAACCAGCAACACTAACTCTCTTCCTCATCTTTTCTCATTGTGCTATAAAACCCCAATGGGTCAGAGAATATTTAAAAGTCAAAACAGGCAAACAAAAATAAAAATGCTGTATCGGGCAAATATATAGGCCAGTGGTCCCCAACGTGGTGCCTGCGGGCACCATGGCGCCCGCTGGGGCATTTGTGCGCGCCCGCCAACAACCTGGGCCGGCCCGCCCCAGGCGTGCGGCGCACAGGAG